ATTGGGAGAAATTCCAAACACTCCCTTCGCTGCTTTTATTCCTTTGAGTATTAATTGTCCTACAGCCTCAGGATACCTAGTAAGAATAGTGTTAGGAGAATAAGATAAATGTTTCCACAATAATGGACCTTCTTGCCAAAATACTCCTGTAGGAATATTTTTTGTTGGTAGTACTATAAATAATAAAGGCAAACTTATATCAATTCTATCCAAATGTATGTTTTCCATATATGTTTCAATAATTTTTAATGCCTTTCTTGCTTTAGGAGTTAACATGCGGGGTGAATTTGGATCTGATGGACCTTTTAGAATATCAAATAAAGGTCCCAACTCTCCTGTTGGTATACCTAGATAAGGCCTTATCCAATTTATGTCTCCTAATAACTTTTGAAAGTCATTAAGTGATTTGAGTTGATCTACTCGTATTTGAATTTTTGGTGGATGGACCATGGTTGAGGATAATAGAACTCCTAAATAATTAATTGGAAAATTTAATTGTACTTTATCTATTGCTATCTCTAGATTATAATTTTTTAATAAGTTTGTAAGTGTGGCATAACATTCCAGCAATATGTTTTTATCTTTATGTGCCAATAATACATCATCCATATAGTGAAATATTTGTAGTTCAGGATTTTGATTTCTAAGTGGCTGGATTGCTTTGTTAACATATATTTGACACATAGTTGGACTGTTAGCCATCCCTTGAGGGAGTACTTTCCATTCATATCTCTGATCAGGACCTTCATGATTTAATGCAGGGATAGTAAATGCAAAACGTGGACTATCCTCGGGATGAATTGGAATTGAAAAAAAACAATCTTTAATATCTATAGATAAAACATGCCAAGTTTTTGGCAAAGCAGACAATTGAGGAATCCCTGATTGATCGGGTCCCATAACAACCATCTCATTATTAATGGCTCTTAAATCTTGCAATAATCTCCATTTACCAGATTTCTTTTTGATGACAAAAATGGGAGTATTATGGGGAGATATGGAAGGTTGTATATGTCCTTCCGCTAATTGTTGTTTGACCAGATCATGGGCTACTTGTATCTTTTCTTTAGTCAGGGGCCACTGAGGAACCCACACTGGTCTTTCTGATTTCCAAGTAATTTTGATTGTCTCAGTGGCCCTTTCTGAAAATCCAACCCATGTCTGTCTGTTCCTTGATCTATTTGTATTGGTGCTGCTATACCTTGCCCTTGTTTTCCTAATCTTTTTTCTTTCCTAAAGCCTTGTCTAGCCCTAGTAGTGGGCGCATTAGGATTGATGTTATTTGTTAACGTCAAACCTAATTGATCTAGGACATCTCGTCCCCATAAATTTACATGAAGATGATCCAATACATATGGCTGTATAGTTCCTTCACATCCTTCAGGATCCTTCCAATCTAATATCATAGAACTTCTATGGGGATTAGTCGCCACTCCTAGGCCTCGAAGCGTTTGAGTGGCTTGTTGTAATGGCCAATGTTTTGGCCATTCTTGACGAGATATGATGCTAAGGTCAGCTCCTGTGTCCAGTAGCCCATTAAACTCATGACCTTGAATATTTAGTTTTAGCATTGGGCGAGAATCTAAATTTAAAGACAACATAGCCCAATCTACACCTGTGGAGCCTAATGCCCTGGAACCTCTTTCTACACTATGACTAGGAAATTTATTATGTAGGCTGGGTATTATTAACAACTGTGCTATTCTATCTCCAGGTGAAATTACTGATATACCTCTTGGAGAACTAGCTATAATTTTTATTTCACCTACATAATCGGTATCAATTACCCCAGGACTTATCATAAGTCCTTTTAATGTAGATGAACTACGTCCCAATAATAAGCCTACTGTTCCTTGGGGAAGAGGTCCTTTTACTCCTATGGGAATGATTTGAACTCCCATCTCTGGAGTTAATACTGCTCTGGCAGAGGCGCAGATGTCCAACCCTGCGCTCCCTCGGGTTTGTCTGATGAGGGATTTAATGGACAATGTGTCCTGGGCACTAGCCTGATGGTGTTGCTGGGTTCCTCCACTGCCCCGTAGATTTATGGTTGTGGGCCCCGGGGCATTGGGCCCCCCTGTCCGTTTTTTGGCAATGGAGCCTGATGCCTTTCTCCACGATATCTTGGATAAATACCTGGTCTTTGTCCGTTTTTTGATAAGGGAGTACCTTCTATGGTGGTTTGAGAACAGCATTCATTAGCCCAATGTCTCCCTCTATGGCATCGTAGGCAAATACCCAGTATTCTATTCCTTTGATACCTACTTTTGTTAAACCCTCCTCCTATGGGGCAATTCCTTTTAAAATGTCCTGTTTGTTCACAATCATAGCATGTTTTTGGCCTGGCATCTAAAGCCTGTTGTACTGCAGCTGCCAAGACTTGCCCTTGTTCATTAATATCTCTACATAATTTAATATATGTGTTTAAATCTTCATGTCTCCATGGTCTAATAACCTCTCTGCAGCAATGATTTGCTTGGTCATAAGCCAGTTGTTTTATTAATGGCATTGCTTGTTCTGTATCCCCAAAAATTTTGGCAGCCGTTTGAATTAGCCTATCTACAAAGTCAGCGTAAGGTTCATTAGCTCTCTGTATTACCTTAGATAGCTGACCTTGTAAATCTCCATGTCCTTGTAAAGTCTTCCATGCCCTAGCTGCGTCTGCAGCAATTTGTGCATATATAGCAGGATAATATTCAATTTGTTGCCGTTGACCCTCATAAGGTCCTTTTCCTAACAACATATCTAGATTTCTTTGAGGGTAACCGGCTGCTGCATTTCGCCTAGCTGTCTCCGCGCAAAATTCCTCATTGGCAACCTTCCATAACAAATATTGTCCTCCATTTAGTACAGATTTACACATGCTAGCCCAATCTGCTGGCGTCATGTCCAAGTTAGTAATGGACTCGACCATGCTTACCGTGAAGGGAGCTTGGGGGCCATAGGTTGTTACAGCCTCCTTTAACTGCTTCACTGTTTTAAAATCTAAAACACGGTGAATTCGCTGCCCTCCTGCCTGTTCAAGTACAGGGCATGCTAATCTTTGAGGTCCTGTCTCAGGATCCCATTTATCAACTACGGGGTTTGAGGGCCACTCAGCTGTCTCCATCGGTGGGGCTGTTGGTTGAATTACGCCCTCTTGTGATAAAACAGAGTTAGTAACAGCCTCCTGTTGTGGCCTTTTTCCTAACAACCCCTTTTCCTTTAAATTTTCTTCCTCTGTCTGACTAGCTCGAGAGACCTTCTCTTTTGCTTGATCTAAAATGTCTTTCTCCATGGTCTGAACCTCTAACAATTTACTTAACATCTTTTCGGTTTGTTTTTTACTAATTTCTAATCTACTATAAAGATAACGCAACCCAATAAGATAACACAAAACAAAAATGGAATAAAAAATCGTTGTATCAATTTTCTCTTCCTCAGGGCCAACAAACTTCAAACCTTTAGTCAACCATTTTTTCCAGTTTGCCTGAGAAATTTCTAGGGATAGGCAGCTTGAAACAAAAACAAGATAAATCAAAACAATAACACATTGTTTTTTGAATTGGTCACCCATTCTTTCGCTCTTCCTCAGGGGCGAGCAATTTCACTTACCTCCAAGCTTTAGACGTTCCCCGTACGAGCGGCCAAATGCCGCAGTCTGGCTGGGCACAAATGCCGCAGTCTGGCTGGGCACACAATCACGAGCCACCACACAGCTTGTAGATTCAAACAGCAACTCTTTATTCCCAAACTCATACCAGCCGTCTACAATCACGTTCTGGGGAAATCCACGTTCTCTGCCCAAATCCACCTCCACTGGGCTTCTATCTCCAAAATATACTGTCTGAATCCCGTGAGAACTCAAGGGGAACTCAGGCAGCAGGATACGCCCTATTCCCAGCAGGAATAATCTTAAACCTTAAACCTGGAACCTAAACCAGGAACGCCCTAATCCGCCTTGGTCCTTGAGCAAGGTCACCTACATTCAATGTCACTGCAACATGGGGTACGCTGGCAAGTAAATTGTCATACCTACTTGGCTAATGGCTCCCAGCACAAAGGTATTTATTATTTTCAAGAATAAAAACTTTAGGTATTTTTTGTTACAACTTTCCTAAAGATATCTCCACATGTCCTTAAATCATGAAAAAAAAAAAACAAAGCAAATGACTGTTTCTATTTTGATACCAGTAATTTTTATACTACTAAAAAGTAATACTATTTTTTCCTAAATTGGGTTGATTTAAATTTGATACATGTAGTTTCATGTTTGGAAACTTCTCTCCTAACCTCATTTTAAAATATTGGAAAAATAGAGCTCATATAATAGAATCACAGACATCTGGAATGGTAAGAAATCTTGACAAATCAATGTGCCACACTAGAATATGCCAGAGACATTGGCAAATATTACAAAGATAAATGAGTTAAGGGCAGTGTGGGGGAGGGGAAACATAATGTTCTGTCAGAGGATTTAATGGAAATTTAGCCTTGAACCAAGGAGATAAATTGAAAGAATAAAAGTACACAACTCTTTATTTCCTTCCATACCATAATATTCTCAGGTGGCTTCTAAAAGTTTCTTTCTGTTACTTTATGGAGAAAGCTATCCAATACCAGTACCCCATCCACCAGCACAGACATATACCAACAAAATTCCTAGAGAGATTTCTACCTATTTCCATGTCTGGGTTGCAGGGTTTTGAGTAAAAAGCATTCCTTATGGTGGTCAGGCACACACTGTGTAAAAAGTATGTGTGTGTGTGTGTGTGTGTGTGAGAGAGAGAGAGAGAGAGAAAGCAACACATAAGAACATGAAACGTCAAATTTAAAGCATAAATTTAAACACTAGATGCTAATTAATAGTAAAATTACAAGCATTAAGTGGTAAAGATAGGAAATATTTTTTAAAATACATACCTTGAATTTCCTTATTCTGTTTCATTGTGACAATAAAAAATTGCCATCTCTTTTCTGGTTAATCTGCAAAAACTTCATGGTGGCGTAGAAATTGCAAGATGGATCTGTTTAACAAAGTTCTCAACTTTTTCCTGTCAGTTGCACTTCCCATTGATGGCAATGATGACAAGATTGTGGGGGGCTACACCTGTGAGAAGAATTCCCTGCCCTACCAGGTGTCCCTCAACATTGGCTTCCACAACTGTGGTGGCTCCCTCATCAGTGACCAGTGGGTACTGTTGGCAGCTCACTGCTACAGGCCGTAAGTGACCAATGCTCAAATGCTGTTCTCTAAGATCAATTCATTCTATGGGACCACCAGAGCACAATGGGGCAAACCACAGTGTGATGTCTGGGGGGCAAAGCTTTCAGATCCAGGTTCAGTTTCAGAAGCATCATGTCATTATCCACGTTATATTTCAAATAGTTGGGGTGTGGGATGATTGGCTGCATCAATGAATAGCTCATCACCCTCATTGACATTGACCCCAATTATACCCTCAAGTATTGTGTGATGCAATACTTGTGAGAGACAGTTTCATGCTGCAATGCCCTTATTGTCTTTGATGAGGGGAAACAGTGGCAGATGAATTATCCCCAGAATTAGCTAAGAATATGAGTCAGTACAGTCCTACCCATCATCACTTAACAAAAGAAATGGTGTGTGGAGATAATAAAATGCATGTATGCCCTGAGAAACATTAAAATTGCATAATTCTTTCCATTCTCTAAGTATTCTGTTATAATTCTCACTCTTGTCTCATCACCCTCCTATACTCAGTGACACTAACTGGTGGAGAAGTGGCAGGTGTTGGTTAATCTCCACCAATCTCCTTTTCATCTCCAAATATGTTATTGGGTCATTTGGTTTCTATTCCTATACCTTAATGTTTTAACAAGATGATGGATTGTGATTAGTTATTAGCAGTGAAACTTACCTAAGGAATTCTCTGACCTGCTCCACATCTTGGACCTTGAGTACAAGATTGCCCATGTGACTGAGAGTTTGAAGAGAATGGTACTTGGGTTTGGGCTCATGATTAGGGGATCAGAAGAAGGAGAAGTTCTTGTTCATACTTAGGAAACTTTTAATTCTTAACACCAGGAACATTCAGGTGCGTCTGGGAGAACACAACATCAATGTCATTGAGGGTGATGAGCAATTCATTGATGCCGTCAAGATCATCCCACACCCCAACTTTTCAAAAGATACTGCGGATAATGACATCATGCTTCTGAAGCTGAAATCACCTGCTACCATCAGCTCTCGTGTATCCACTATCTCTCTGCCAAGATCCTGTCCAACTGTGGGGACTGAGTGTCTTGTGTCTGGCTGGGGCAACACACTGAGCTCTGGAGGTAAATGTCACCATGAACACAGGTACAAAGTCTCAGAACACCAGAAGCAAATACACATGTAGGATTATTTAATCCAAATTTTAACAGAAGTTATTATTGGAAATAAGCAGTCTTAGAGTACACTATTTAAGTGGGAAAGATTTATTTCCTGAGGGCATGCAGAACACACAACAGACATGAACTTGTTATAAGAGGTAACTATTTAATTAAGTGTGTGTAATGATATACAGAGAACTAGGCCTGTGGAGGGAAACAGGGGCTGAGGGTTTTGCTACTGCCTGAAGTGTACACCCACTTTACAAAACAGTCCCTGGACTTGAGATCTTGCCCACCAATTTTATGGTTAGAGCAGGAAGAACTTGTTGATTATAACTAAAAAATTCTCCCAAGTTAGAAGTCATTGGCAACTGGGATAACAGTGGGAACATCCTGAAAGACAGGATGTGCGGTGGGAAAAAAAAATTTTTTTTTCAGCCACGTTGTGAGTAATCTTCCGTTTGCACTGTTTCACTCAACAGTCAAATATCCTGATCTTCTGCAGTGCCTGGATGCCCCAGTGCTCTCTGACACTGCTTGCCATAAGGCCTACCCAGGCATGATCACTAGCAACATGTTCTGCCTGGGCTTCCTGGAGGGGGGAAAGGACTCCTGCCAGGTGAGTGTCTGCTACTCTGCCTCTGTCCAGCTCTGTCTCACTCTCCTTCTCCATCATATTTTTTTTTCCTTTTCTGAAATATAGAATACTGTAAAACTGACCCCAGGAATGATTGTGAGAAGTGAGCAATATCATTAAGACAACTACAAGTTTTCTTTCTGTGATATTGATATGAATATTAAGGAAAAATAGATGAAAAGAAGATGATGCATAAGCCCTGATATCCAGACACCCTTCTGAGTGGTATCTGGTGGAATGGAATAGCTGTTAAGAGGAGCAGGGCTGGTGGGATGGCATTCAATCTCTTCAGTCCTCACCTTTGCTTGAGCCTATGGAGCTATTACAGAAATAGGAGGGGCTACAGAAAAAGAGGAATAATGGGTATAATGAGATTGAGGGTTGGATTTCCAGGGGTAGAGAAGGTGTTCCATGGAGGATCAGCAGTCTGCAATAATGGCCCAAGGATAAAGACAGAAGCCTGTGCAGCCCATTCTGCCCCCTGGACGTGGACATGAGCTCTGATTTTCTTTTCCTTCTTCTTCAGTGTGACTCTGGTGGCCCTGTGGCCTGCAATGGAGAGCTCCAGGGCATTGTCTCCTGGGGCACTGGCTGTGCTCTGAAGGGCAAACCTGGAGTGTACACCAAGGTCTGCAAATACTTGGACTGGATTCAGGAGACCATTGCTGCCAGCTAAACACCTTTATGTCTTCATGATCCAATGCTGCTAATGAACTTCTCCCTTCTTCTATGCCTGAAATCAATATCTCAATAAAGCCATTTTGCTGCATACTACATCTGCCCAAGAATGGTCCTTGCTTTGGTTTTGATGAGCTTTCTCCTGACAGTTGCTACCAAGTAAGAAGGTTAATAGACCACTTGCTTTTTATGGATAGGACACAATTTGAAGTTTTTTTAGTCCTTCATCAAACCTAATAAATTTTAACTTATCAATCACCTACTATGCAGCAGACTCTGTGGGTAGCATTGCAGATACACAAGTAAAGAAGAGATCATTGCTAATACTTTATTTATTTTTTTCAAAATAATTACCAGTTTTATTATTAACATATTACATATATTTTGTTTGGAAATTCAACTATAGTATGCATTTGGTCATGCATTGGTCTTGATAGATCAAGAGTTCATAGATGACAACACTAAAGTATCAAGAGTTAAAATCAATTGCCAAAGTCATCAAAATACTTCAGAGTAAAGTTTCAATGAAACCCAAATGGTCCCTAATCACAGTGCATCACTGATTCTGTGACAGGTGTTCTGCATTTTATTCTTCAAACCATCTAAACCTCAGGATAAAGGACATATCTAGCTGCAGATCTTCCAAGGATCCACCTACATATATGTTCCCATTCTCCAAGATCTTGTTTTCTGGCTGGAAGATCATTGCTATAGCAGGCATGGCCTCTGGAGACTATCTCAGCCCACTCCCACCACCTGTGTCTCTTCAAGTCCAACCCCAGATTAAGTACTAATTTCAACCAGAGGCCATAGAAAGTACAAATTTGGATAAATTTGTAGAAAATAGATGTATTACCCTAGGTCTTAAAGGTCATCTAGAGGTATGATCTGTCCCCCTCAGCCCTCCCTGAGAGTGTACCCACACACTCTGCCTTGGTTCCTCTCCAGCTCTTCCCCAGATCTTCCTCTTCCCATGGATCATCCAGAGAAGGTTCACAGTGGAAGCTTCCACACAGGATACCCATGCAGATGTATTGGAAGGACTCACTAAGCCCTGAGCACAAGCACATTGGAGTACATGGAGCAGGACTGAAGGGGGAAATGCAGCCTCAGAGAGAGGTGAAGAGAGCACTGGTTCTCGGCTCAGTGTGCTGTGACAATACCAGAGTCAGGTGCCTTACACACCACATGCTGTTTCTCACAGTTCTGAGGGCTGGTGAGGAATGCCCAAGGCATGTCTGGGGGGAGCCAGCTTCCTAGTTTGCTGATGTACTGTTTTATTCAGGTTTTTTACTAAGGACCAGAACAGAACAACTGTAGAGGAGGAAAGGTTTATTTAAGGGCTCAGGGTTTCAGAGGTCTTAGTTTATAGAAGGCTGGCTCCACTCCTTGGGGCTCCAAGTGAACCTAACATCATGGTGGAAAAGTGTGGCAGAGGGAAGCTGCTCACATGATGACCAGGAAGCAGAGAGACAGGTCTCCACTTGCCAGATACAAAAATATACCCTAAAGCCACATCACCAATTCCCACCTCCTCCAGCACACCCCACAGCCTCAGTTACCATTCAGTTAATTCCTGTTAGGAGATTAATTTACTGATTGGGTTAAGACCCTCACAACCTAATTATTTCTCCTTGGACTCTGCTTACAGAATCTCACATGTGAGCTTTTGAGGGACACCTCGCATCCAAACCTAACTATATCCTCAGCCTCCTGTCAAATCCAAGAACCCTTCCTGGTGGCTCCATCCCCTGGACCTTATCTAAACCTTATTACTTCACAAGAGTTCTACCCTCCAATGCTAACTATTTGGAGGCTAAAATCAACATAGGAATTCAGGACGACACAAACAAGTAGTCTATAATAGACATCTCAAGAGAGGTATTACAGGAAGAAACCTGTGCTCATCAGTGCACATCAGAACAGACACCCTTCTTTTTAGTATATTGTTGATCCTTGCTTCATTGAATCCAAGTACTTGATAGCCAAATGTTTATGACTGTTTAACTGAATTAAGATAGGATTGCTGCTAAAGAATAAGGGGATATTTAAATGGCGAGAACAATCTTCACCAGAATAATCAGATATGTTTATGAAAAATCAGATACAACTCAAATAAAGTTTAATAGCGTGTTGACTAAATAAATATGCCTTTTGTTTCCATGTGAAAATGTATAGGTATTCTGTTCATTAATCAAGCATGTACTCTTCAAATACTTCCTAGGTGCCTATAAATTACTGGCTTTGATTTATACACTGTATGTATAAATACATCACATCCACTGCCTTCCTGGTGGATACAGGCTGATGGGTAAGCAGACAGGAAGTCAGTAGAATGTGAGGGTGATCCCGCAGGTGCTGTGAGGAGGACACTGGATAACGGGACATGTGACTGGAAAGTACAGGCCTTCTTCAAAAGCAAAATCAAAGAAAAACACCAAAGACCCATGCAATTTAACCTAACAAGCAATTCAGTAGTGTAGATGAGATTACTGAAACATACTGATTGCAAATAAATGGCTAATTCATGATTCAGTAATATCCAGAGAGGCGTGGCGTCTTTGTAGCACATAATGAGGAAATGTGAAGAGGTCAAAAGCTGAGACTGGGGGCAACTGGCTGTGGACTAGGCTTTTTATTGCTGTATCTAATTATTTTAAGAGAAGAATTCTTTTATCTCTTGCTTCTGGAAATTTGGAGAATATAAATCAAATCTCAATTTCATGATTATAACATTTTATAGCTATGTAAATTAGTGTTCTACTAGTACTTCAAAGCTTATTTACTTATGTAAAAATTTCGTATATATATATGAATAATATATATATATATATATATATATATATATATATATATATATATACATACACACACACACACACACATGAATATATCTCCATTGGACAAAGTTACTTTGCTTCAACTGGGTATTTTCTAAAATCTAGTTGTTAGTTCTCTCATTACCAAGCAATAATCCTCAACATGTTCTAACAATCAGTTGAATCAAGAAAATTTATTTTAATTAGACAAATATAAGCCTCTTTTTCCTGAGATCTTACTGAATTTATCATTTTAATGCAACCATTGTTAACTTTTGAGAAGTAACTTGTGTTTAAAATGTGTTTTTAAATGTAAATACTATTTTCTTATTATTTTAGTTTCTTGTTTTAAATTCAATAAAGAATATCAATCTGTTGAAAGTAAAAGAATTCAAAATTCTTTAGTCTTAGAGATACTCATTAGTTCTTAATAGCACCGTTCATTCACATTCAATATCTATCCTATCTAAGGCTATGGGGTTATCAAAGCTCTTGAAATAATCTCAGTTTTCAATGGCCCCTTTGTTTCTCCATTTTTTTTTACGAGTTCTAAGCTTCTACAGAATAAGCGACTCATTTTTTTCTCCACTAACTGATGTAGTATTCTCACCTGAGGCACAACAGATGCCTTCAAGAAAACTAATCTGTTGGTTATGTATGCCTTCTAACACTATCTCTAACACTATTCCAGTAGTCCATGGTTATATATACGTGTGTGTGTGTGTGAGTGTGTGTGTGTATTTCCACACATGAAAATAACCAACTTACAGAGCTGATTGTATTAGAGTTTGAATACAAATAGTTTTGTGTTGTGATTATTTCTCATAACATTCATGCTCTGTATCTATAGGAAGAAATAAAAGGTTATAAAACAAAAGGTCGTGCACTCTAGGAATCACAGGATGTGCCATGCTGGTGTGTGCCCTTGTCATCTGACTTCACTTCCTTGTGGACAGGCTGAGCTGACTTCTGAGGAACTGCTCATCCAGGTTCTGCACTTGCGCTGTGCTTGGCCACTTCTCCCCCAGGAGGAAAAGCTCACACATGATGGAAGACAATTGCTCCAACAGGACCCCATCAGCTGTGTAGTCCCCAGGATTTTCAACGTCCTCCTCACATGTTTCATCTCTTAACGATCAAACTTTTGAACTTAAAAACTGAAGTTTTAAAATCATAACCCTTGTGGGGCCTGTGGCCCTCCCCCATAATCCCAGCTACTCAGGAAGCTGATGGGGGCAGGAGGATCCTGATCCTGGCCAGCCCTGGCAGCATAGTGAGATCCTGTCTCAAAATGAAAAATAAAAAGCACAGGAATATAGCTCAGTGGTGGAGCATCTCTGGGCTTTATCCCCAGGACCACCAGAAATAAAAATAATAAAATCAATAACTAACCCTCTCCTTAATCTCCTAAAGTTCTTTTTGATTTATTGTTCTTGTTTCCCTGTTAAGATTGTTCATCCTTAGAAAGGAGAGGTGCCAAATAGTGCCATATCTAGGAAAAATAAACTGGATTTAGTGTAGTTTAATCAATTTCCTTTATTTTTATAATAGCTTTACATATATATTTTTTTAAATCCTCATTTCAAGATTTAAATGTTTTTTTTGTTATTAGCTGAGTAATTTGACCCCCTTCCTCCAATCATAATCATCAACATTTTTGTTGAATCTACACTTTCATAAGCCACTGGCATAGAAGAGTTTCACCCTCCCAAGTGAGAGCTAATTGTGTGTTTTACTGTGTAGGCTGTGCAATCTGAAGGTGAGATCTAACTGGTGAGAACAGTGATTCTTTAAAAAGAGGAAAGTAGATATATAAAGGAGAAAAAGAGGTAAGAAAGGATAAGACTAAGGAAGACACTTTTAAAAATCATAAAGACAGGGACTGGGGTTGTGGCTCAGTGCAGAGCACTTGCCTCACATGTGTGAGGCACTGGGTTCAATTCTCAGCATCACGTATAAATAAATGAATAAAATAAAGGTCCACCAACATTAAAAAATTTTTTAAAAATCATAAAGATGGATCTTTATAAACATCCAGCTGTATGATATACAATATGAATTCTCTTCTTCAATTTCCCAAGGACTGTCTAGAATAATTTTTTCTACTTTGTTTCAAAGTTGAATCTGGTTTGGAGAATGAGATAGAATAATGTGTAGATGAGCCCCAAGACTGACATGG